TGTTTCTTTTGAAAATGCAAAAAGAAAACTAATAGTATTGAAATGATTCAGCTTAAGAAGGTATTTAATATCTTTGTGTTGTATGAAAGTTTGTTGAAGGTGAATACTGGTGACTTTCTTATTGGGACACTAAATATTCATGGAAATGTAACCTCGACTTCTAAAAGGCTGATGAAGAGCTCTAAATGCTAATGCATAACTACTGTACATTAAGAGCTGGAGAAATTAAGTATTCAGTTGCCATAAATCTACTAGTAAGTATGCCAGCTGTTATAATATGCTTCTTAGAAATCACATCTACTGTATGTGATGTGCAAAATAATGCTGCGTTTAAGCATTTATGCAGATGGTACAGTCTACATCTGTTGATCAATTTTAATTGCAACTTGCCCGTTTAACAGTGACCTGCTTCTTACAGTTTTAGTTATTGTACTCCTTTTCTTCTGTCCATCTCCTTTATGCTTGTTTTTCACTGCTGTTTCTATATGTGGACTGAAAACATTTTAACTTAAAATGAGGTTTAATTCTTTCACCTTTGTTTCCATGTGTATTTATGAGTTCTCAGATGTAAATGTGGATTAATGTTGCACACAAGTACTAGACTTTTGACTTACTGTATATGCAAAGTAGTCTAATCCGATACTGGAAGAAAAATTACTACTGAACCCATCAAATATGTTGCTGCTAATTCAAGGTGTGAAGCTCACAAGGGCACAGGTGTTGCTAGTGTTCAGGTGGTGATAAAATGTTGACTCGCTGCCCTTCAGCAAAAACTGCTCTTATCCAGTGAAACACAACTCCCTTTTGCAAGAGTTCTGCGGATTTACTGTGTTTCTTGCTTTATGGAAATGCAGCTAAATTCACATGAAGATTTACGTGGAAAGAGAGAACGAATTTGTACGTTGATGAATAATTCACCCTAAGGTACACTGTCCTCCATTTCATTTCAAACGGGAGAATTGGACTTTCTGAACAATATAACCACATTTGTATGATGTTAATTTATTTTGTGTGTGCTTTTTGATTACCCTGAGGTAGTTCTTCATTTTTGAATAGTGTTTAAAAAAAAAATTCTAAGGGAATTCTTTCACCTTTGTTTCCATGTGTATTTATGAGTTCTCAGATGTAAATGTGGATTAATGTTGCACACAAGTACTAGACTTTTGACTTACTGTATATGCAAAGTAGTCTAATCCGATACTGGAAGAAAAATTACTACTGAACCCATCAAATATGTTGCTGCTAATTCAAGGTGTGAAGCTCACAAGGGCACAGGTGTTGCTAGTGTTCAGGTGGTGATAAAATGTTGACTCACTGCCCTTCAGCAAAAACTGCTCTTATCCAGTGAAACACAACTCCCTTTTGCAAGAGTTCTGCGGATTTACTGTGTTTCTTGCTTTATGGAAATGCAGCTAAATTCACATGAAGATTTACGTGGAAAGAGAGAACGAATTTGTACGTTGATGAATAATTCACCCTAAGGTACACTGTCCTCCATTTCATTTCAAACGGGAGAATTGGACTTTCTGAACAATATAACCACATTTGTATGATGTTAATTTATTTTGTGTGTGCTTTTTGATTACCCTGAGGTAGTTCTTCATTTTTGAATAGTGTTTAAAAAAAAAATATTCTAAGGGACTGTTTAAAACTGTTATTTAAAAGATTAGTCCTAAATTAGGAAAAATTTTTATGGGGCATATTAGCCAGATGTTTATATGTGTATAAAAGAGAAAATTAGATAATTTTCTTTTTAGAGAGATATATATACACACACACATTCAGATATATTTTAGAATTATGGTTTGTATTATGGATATTATCATTTATATCTGGAGTTTCATTATAGAAACTGCCACAGCTGTACAATATGCATCTCATGTTACCAGAAGGTTGTGGTTTTTCCCCAGGACATAGCTGAAACGTGAATGTAGGATGTGCTAAATTGCTGACTCTTGTCTTCTGTAGGCTTGGTTCTTTCTTCAAGATCACATTATTAGTTATAGGTAAAGAAGATACCTGGTTACTATTTATTGATCAAAAGAGTTTTAATTGGAACACGCAGGGTAATTGGCAACGTGGAAAGCTTCTTGGCTTTGTTAGGTTGAAGGGTGAACAGGTTTGTGCTCATTCTTATACACTGCATTCTTACATACTGTAATATTTTTGGGTCATTATCCTCTTGCTTGACTGGGCACAGATTGGAAGGCAAGGGACTGTAACTCTGGTTCACTCTTAACTTGCTGAACTGCATCAGGTCACTCAATCTGTCTGTGACTCCAAATGTAAAACGATACTGGACATGCACGTGTTGCTTGGGGATCTTTTTTTGAAAAATACATGTAGAGAAGTGTACAAGCGCAGACTGCCTGCTGTTGTTAGAGGGAATACTGAGCAGTAAGAAAACCTGGTGGCTCTTTCCCACGTGAGGAGTAGTGGGCAGTAGAGAATCTGTGCCTGCTGGGTGGGTGGTTAACACAAGCTCCCTTTTCTTATAATGTGTGTGCCTTTCTGTAAAGCATCTTTTTTAAGTTTTGTTGTGCCCAGGTCTCAAAGTCATCCCTTGCAGTTGGCGTGACTTGCAATTAATAGTTTGTCAAGAAGTGAAAAAGGCAAGGAGGAAAAAAAACCTAGAAAATAAATAGTAAGAAAAATATTTAGAGCATCTCTTTGTGACATCTGTTTCTTTCAGGGAAGTACTTGATTAAACTTAGTTTATTTGTGTTCAAGGTTATTGATATATTCCTATCACTATTTATGTTTCTTCATGTCAAGTATGTATTTACCAAAACACTGTAAATTTATTCCATATAGAATTCCGGTCTGAAGATACATGGTATAGGCTTGACTTAGGTTAGTATGTGTATGTTTGAATGATGATGGTCATATTGTGACAACAAATGCTGCTCTTGTTCTGGTTAACTTAGACGGTTTTGGTAATACCATTTGTGAACTCTTATTTGATTTTAATAACTTGTTTGAAATTGCTGGCCACTGACACTACTCAAAGCTATAAAAATATTAATCTCTGTAATATCAGAATTTTTTTTTAAAACCGTAGAGCAAATATTAACTACGCAAGTATCTTGTACATTGTGTCCATCTTTATTTCAGTCTTGCTGGGTTTTGCACATGTACCTGTAGGGTCCATAGGGGAGAATGAAGGGGTTTTGTCTTCTCTCTGTAGTGTGTGATGACTTTGCACTGAATGATGTATGCCTTAGATCTGATCTCACAATGAAAGCATAATTATGAAAACATCTTAATGCTGGCTTTTGTTTCCACAAGAATTAGGAAATTAAAAAGGCACAGAGTTTAATTTTTTTTTTGGGGGTAAGAATTAAAACTCCTAACACAAAATTTTTAACTGTCAAGCAATTGACAAATAGCAAAAAATGCTGTGAAGTCAAGATTCTGTATAACCTTCATAAACAGTTTAACCTCGATTTTGCCTGTGCTTGTGATCATGACAATAAGTATTCAAAATTTCTAGCATGGCGGTGGATGAAGAGGGAGTAATAAGCTTTTGAGTGTTTCATCACTGTGAAATACACTAACATTTATTCTTCAAAATTAAACAAATTTTAACTAAGTGGCTTTATATTTGATATGGAAGTAACTAAAATGCCTATTCAGAGTGTCTTCAGAAATATCACAGGGGAAGACTTCTGGGATGGAGGTGGGAGGGAAAGATCTTACCATGTATTGAAAATAAGAAAAATGGTGCCATAAACCATGAATGCCTTTTGTGTAACAGGATGTATGAAATATGAATCATTAAAATACAACCAAACCTTGAGTAGTGGTGGGGTTTTTCAAAAAAAAAAAAAAAAAAAAAAAAAAAAATTTTGTAATCTAGAGTTTTGCTCTCAATAATCCTGTCTTTTAGGTGTTGGTACTAAATTATATGCAATCAAAATGTACCTAAGGATTCAGCAATAGCTCTTCATATACACACATTTTTTTTTTTAACATTTAACAGTTGGTTCTCTTTTTTCCCTCCTTTTTTCTGCTATGCAATACTTGGTTAAAAGTATATATATCTTTCAAAAGAACTGTAGTTCTGAAATATCTAATGAACTATGCATTTGCTTTATTACAAGCATAATTTGATACTGTTTTACAACAGAAGTTCTTCCCTGTAGATAGTGTTCTTATGTGTCAGACTAAATGCATAAATGGTCCACTGATTGAAAACGTTGAAAATAGACACACATGGTTCATATTCAATCAATTAAAATTTAAACATAGTTATTTCACTGATAATGGCTTTATTGTTATATCCTGAAATGTAGCATTTAAGTGCAAGTTTATTTTACTCCTTCACATAAAGCCTTTCCAGAAAGAACGTGTGCTGGGAAATGTTTGTATTTCAATCGGTAACCTGCAATTAGTCTACTTGGTTAAAAGCATTTATTAATTGAAACTATATAGAAGGTAAAGTTGTGTCATGAAATACTGTGTTCAAAGACAGTTGACAGCCAAGTGAATGATTAACTCATTATATAAAACATAATGTTTTGATTAAATGGATTCTCTTGCATTTAAGTTCTGACACTGATAGTGTTAAGCCATCTCAGATGACTGCCTGTTTTAACAATAGTATTATGTTAACACTTTAAATATAGCAATCTAATGCAATATGATTTAGTTTTAGTGTACTTTAACATATTTAATATCCCAGTTGTTCAGTAGCTGTACAAGCTTCAAACAATAGTATTCACAATCACTGAAACTTGTTGTCTTAAAAAAAAAAAAAGTTTCTCTGAATGAAAGGGAAGGAGCAGCACATGATATCGATAGATTTAACCATGTTTCAGCCCAGACTAACCCTGTGACAGTAGTGGTCTGATTTGACCACTGGTACAGAAAGCAATTGTTGAGGACCAAGAATATCATGGGAAAAGCAAATTGTGTGGGCTGTTGACACTGTTTGTTCAGTTTTGGCTGCAGTTAAGAGACCAGTAACTGTTGTCTCTTTCTTTCTTTTTTTTTTTAAGACAAATTCATCTCAAAAGGTGGCTTTGGGAATGGGGAGTAGAATGTGCCGTTATTGACTCACCTAATTTTATTGCAGACTACTTGGAGAAGAGTCTTAGATTGTGTTATTTTGAGCTTAGCTGCAGGTTTTGAATCTTTAATGAAATTCCTATTTAAAATATTAAAGCATTGATTTTAATAGACATTAATGAAACACTTCAGTTTACTGTTAGTTGCTCAACTTCTGTTTTCTTGGCTTTCATGATGTCGTTTCTTGAGTTGTCATTGTTTTACCTTATAAAAGCACTCTGAGGTTTCCCACAACTGTAGAACTGGCTTTGCCACAGACAGGCTTAAGTGATGTTGCTGTTGCCTAAGATAGGATGTTATTTACGCCTGTTGAAGGTGCACCGTGGTGTTCTGAGCAGCCTGAACTGAGCTCCTTTCTGAGGAATTTAAACAGTGCTGCTAACAGTGGTAAAAATCATAAAGATATTTTGAAAAAGCAAGTAGGAGATGTTTTGTTCAGGGCAGATAAGACCTGGTTTTTATTTAACAAAAAAAAAATTGTGAGGATGAAAATGTTTTTAACAGATAAAGTAGGGGGTGGGAAATGCACGAGATTTTTTCCCTTTGCAGAACACTTTTCTATGTTTTAAATGCATCATTTCTCCTGGAGCAGTTTCTTTACTGAAGAGCCCTAGTGCTGATGGGATTTAATTTTTGTCAAACTGACCTAGAAAATAATTTTAAGTTGAACTTTTTCCTCATTTACTGTTTTGTGCCTTTAAGTAACATTAAACAAAACTGAAATATTTTCCTTCTAAAAATTATTTTGACTGTTTTCATTTGGTGTCTTTTTCGGAGACATAAATGGAACTCAAATGTGGCTGGGTAACTAGTGAGGTTGCCACGCGTGCTAAGAGAAAACAGATGCTTTGCTAGCTCTATTAAATCCATTACCTAACATCGGTTGGCAACTGAAACCAGTCTAGCATCATGTTTCTATCAGGCTTTTGCAGAATAACGGTTTTGTAAATAGGAAGTCTTTGGAGCTTGCTCTCCCAAGCATCAGGAAGTCTTCTTGTACTAAGCTAGAATTGATACCATTAAAACCTGAATCTTCAAGTAGGGAAGGACTGTTTACCAAAATATATGTAAAACACACTTACACCTTTTACAAGGAAAAAAAGTAGTTTCTCTGTAAAAAAAGCAAGCTGCTAGAAGTGAGTATCTTCTTTGCTGTGGGTGCATCTTATGTAGTCATAAACCAAACTAGTTCTCAGCTAGTAAGCAGTATGGCCACCAAAGCACGCAAAAGTCGACATCGCTAACCGCCTGATTAATTTCTCAACTTCCTTGCCAAGGGTTGGTTGCAATCCTGGTCCAGAAGTCCTTGCTGCAGAACGGAAGGAGAAAGGGCTTGCTTCCTTAGGGAAGAGACTGAAAGCCCGCTCAGTAAATCAGCAGTCTATATTGACCTTAGTGGGGTTGTGCTTGTATTACCTAACCTGAGCAGTCTAGTTTAAAGTAAGATCAGGTGTATCTATCTGAGTTTGCAAGAACATTGAAGCCCTACGTTCATTCCAGAAAAAAAAAAAACTTAGACCAGCAGTGTTAATTTCTGTGGGCTTCATTTGCTTCACTTAAGCAGTAGGTTAGCGTGGTAGCAGTTGAGTTATTCTTGATCAGTGCCCTTCTAATTCAGAGCTTCGCATACACCAATGAAAACCTGATATAACTGTTGCTTTCCTAGTTTTTCATAGAAATTACATTACTGTCTGTAGAAATTAGGTGGGGAAATAGTATGTGTGCTCAAATGTAAATATATTTCAAATCCAGATTTTGCAGAATAACTTACAAGTATCAATGCTTATATTCCAGTGACCTGTGCAGTGAGTACTAAACATAATTTATTTAGGTTTTCACGCTTCATTGGGTAACCTTAATAGAGAAATACAAGATAAATAATGGGGACAGTCCTATCAAGGCTTTGAAAATCTGCCAGGCATTCATAATAACAAAAGATGATTGGTTAAAACTGACCTTCATTGCAACTGATACAGAAATGTGCTTAATAGTACTGGAATAAATTACATGACAGTTGGGAAAGCCGAAGTTGTTTTTGTTTGGGTGGGTTGTTTTTTTTTTTTGCAAGCTTTGCAAAAGATTCCACTATTCTAGTCACTAAGTTTGTATTTTCATATATGTTCAGTTAGTGTTTTTGTCAGAGATGTAGAAAAAGCTTTGAAGATAATATCCATTCAGTGACTCTGGCTTTTTTTTTTTAATGGCTGTTTCTGTAGCACTCTGTAGTTTCTTCTTCTGAGATCTTAGGTGCCAGTGCTGGCTGTTTCTGTAGCACTCTTTAGTTTCTTCTTCTGAGATCTTAGGTGCCAGTGCATTAAAGGAACAAAAGAATGTATTTGATGTATTTGGAAGGTAAGGAAAGAGTTTATTTTGTATCCTAAGCTGTACTTTTCTTTTAAATCATTTGAAATGTAAATTGATGTTGATATTACAAAGCTTAATTTATTGTTTAAAAATGTAGACACTTCTTGAAATGAATGTATCATTTTTCTTTTTTATTTTTATAGGAATAAAGTATTGGTTAAGGTTTTCAGTATAGTTTTCTTGGGTTTTGGAACTGTTTTGAACAGAAATATTACAGTCACCATTTTATGCTTATTGGTTATATGGCTAATGGTGAAATAAAGCATTTTTGGCTATATGGTTTTACTGTGGCTTTATTCAAGAAGAAAGTAAGTTGCATTAAAAAGTTACTGACCTTTTTAATCCTTTTAAAAAAAATCACACATGGCTGCATCTTGAATTTTACCTAAGCAAGCAAACATGTATGGAAAGTGTCTGCTCCATATAGACACAGTGTGTAATTCTTTCATAAATAGCTTGCTGGAGGAGTAAAGCAACCAACTAAGCTACAAATTCTTCGGAGTATTTCACTTGCAACAATTTTTATAAAAGAGGATTGTCTCGATTAATTAGGCCAATAAACCTTTTCACTCATGAGATACAAGGCCACATAAACAACTGTTTGAGCGTAGATTTTCTTTTTTGCTACTATGTATAAAATGCGCAGACTACCCTTCCCTTTGGGATTTCCCATGTCCTCACAGTACTCCCCAGAGGTGTCCCAGTAGTCGTATCTTCTACACCCTCTGTTGCTCCAGGGTGGTTGTCACGTTTTCACAACAAACCAGGGCCCAGTGATGCTGTTCTTGAATTATTTCTGTTTACATGTGTATGTAAAATGCAGGTTTATAAGTTTCAAAATAGAAAACACACTGAAGATTGAATCCGACACTGCCAGATGGATAGAGCATTGACCTTAAAATATGTTTGGGATTCGGTTAAGAACTACGATGGTGGTTAGTAAGCACTTTTTGCTGTTTACAAGATATGGCTCTGCCTACTGATTAGTCTTTTTAAGCTTGAGGCCAATAATCCTTCATGATGAAGCTATGAATTCAGTGAAATCTTGATGAAAGGAAGTACAAGACCAAAAGCAACCATCTGGGCAGCTCGGACATGGGATATGCATGCAGGTTGGAATCTCTTATAGGTGCACAAAGCTACCAAGATGAAGGTTTTGCTGGAAATCCTTGTGAAACAGCTTACAGAAAGATGTACCAGTGTCTTTGCAGCTTGTTAGCAGGACGGGGTGCAGAAGCGCCTTTTGGAGGAGATAAGGCAGAAGTAGACTCCAAGCCCATGGCTGTATTGTCAAGACTTGCGCAGCTGATAGCTAGTGGGGAGAAGAGGGCCTTAACGTGCCTAGTGTTAAGGGTGATTTTGGACAATGCAAAGCACACCAAGGTATTCCATTCTTGCGCACAAGGCAATCCTTTAAAATCCTTATGGTACCGGCAAGCCCATGGAGAAGCGGGGTGCTCTGCCAGGAAGCCAGGAGTATGGAAGAGGTGTCTTTCTGTAACTCATGTGAGGCAAAGACAATTGGGAATATGTATGTCAAACTGGCATTTCGCAATATATGTATTATTTCCAAGTATAGCTTTTTGGAGCTATATCTCAGTGATAGAAAAATTTTCAAGCAATGACTCAATTTAGCTTATGTTCCTTGCAGTATTCAAAGTAAAATATTTTAACAAGTATAAAAATTATATCCAATTTCATCTTGATTTGGGATTAAATTCCTTTTTTTGGTTAGTCCTATATAATGTAACTAAATTGATTTCCATGTCCTAAAAAATAAATACGCCATGGTAGCATGTGCAAAAGCTAATCTGCTAAGAAAGCTTGCCTTTTCATTTGAATGACAAAATTCAAAGTTTTCCATTTGTTAAAAAGAAGGACCATGTAAGAATAACTGAAAGGTGTTTGGGGAGACCGAGATCACTACTGCTGATCTCTGGGTTCAAAGCCAGTTCAGTTTCCCAGGTCCATCTCGAGGGATGAGGGACATCAGTATTTCACTGGAGCATGATAGAAGGCCAGACTCGATGTAACTCCTGCAGTCTCGTGTGTTAGTCTGACACTGCTATTGCGGAGCTCGGACACCTGCGACACCCTGTATTTTAAAGCAGAGGTATTCTGATTTGTTTTTCCTCTCTCATTGAGTTTAGCATCCACCCACAGAAGATGCAACATTGTCCATAGCAGGAGCCTTTAGTTCTTCCATGCATCAGTCACAATTTTAAAAATAAATTATTTGCCACTGATAGAAAAAGCTTCCTGAGTACTACCTCTGTGTCTCGAGCATAGCAGGTAGTTGTATCAGGGGCACTCAGGCTGCGCTGGCACACATGATGGTGTGGGCTAAGGTGTCAGTAATGCTGATGGTAATACCAAGATGGAGGGGTGTGTGAAAAACAGCATTGTATACATCAGTGTACCCCACAGAATACCATAGGAGTACTGATTGCTAATGGGTTTGGTCCCGCTTAAGTTTAACTTTGGCCTTCGGAGCTTTCTGTGTCAGTACAAATGCCCTGAGCTTTTAGACCTGATAAATTCTCATTTAAAACTAAATGCTGACTGTTACTCCTTGCAAACTACAAAGCGATTTGTTGTCCTTTTTGAGTATGTGGGTCCTCACCTCTAATCTGGACAGCTCTGCTCCTGCATGTTCAGAAGAATTAATACAAATGTAAATGTAGCATAGCTCTTGAGCTTCACATTAATTTATACAGATTCCAAGTTAGCATAAGCTTGCTGGTTTCAAAAGGGGCCAACTTGCTTATGTATAATACTTAGCCTAAAAGGATGTAGTGACTCCAGCCTTCTAGTTACCTGCCAAAAACTGAAGTGTCTTTTGCCTTTGAAGATACTTGTTGCTGTATCCAGACCAGCTGCAAGTGTCCTTTTTTTGTTCAGAAGAGTCACGGCTGTATTATTTTCACCTGTGCTGCTGGGCTTTTTTTTTTAGTTTAAGAAATACTATTACAAGAAAATCTACTCCCTTTGTTTAAGTGTTCCTCAGAAATCTTATTGCTGAGGACACTTGTGTTTTGAGTAGAGAATGTCATTTTTGTCCTCTGTGAGAATTGCTCGCAGTAAATTTACTGTGATATTGCACCTCTGCGACTTCTGTAGCTCTGCCTGCTGCATCAAACGGGATGCCAGAGCATGGGCAAGAGTCTCTAGCTGTCTCAGGCACACAGCTGGGAATATACCACCTCCCTGTAGGAGCTCTTCCTTATACAGTGAATAATGTGCCTACCGTTGAAGAGTAAAGCAGGAACTGAGGAGAAGCAGAACTTCCAGCTCCAGTAAAGTTAGGACTGAACAGAGCCTAGATGCTATGCAGAAGGCCTACAGGGCCCAAGTGTGATTAGACCTTCTGCAGAAGCAGGAGGATGACAATTTGAAAGGAGCTTCTTCCTCCTCTTCCTTCTCCCCATTCCCCTTAGATTTTTACTAACGAAAACAGGCAGTTCAGCTGCAGTCCCTGTGGCAGGGGGGTGCTACAGCCAGCCTGGGCCCCCTTTGGGAGTGGGAAGGTTTCTTACCTCCTAGAAAGCCGTCTGTTCTTCCATGGCCTGATGCAGGTCATATTGTTATTTTCCTGTTTGTCCTCTGTTACTCAACTTGACAGATACAGCAGTGAGTAGTCAGAACTGGCCTGGTTAAAAAAAGGGGAAATAGTTTAAGGCTCCTGAGCTGTGTAACTAAGAAACCCCATCTTAGCAACTGCTATTACAAGAGGAGTCTTAAAGATTTGCTTAAATGGCATTACTTTCAAATACTGTCTCTCTATCAAGTGGATAGGAAGGGGGTATATATAGAGAGAAAGAGATATATATGTGTGTGTGCATATATATATTAAAAAAATAGAACATAAGTGAATAACAAAAGTAGCTCCAAAAAGGGCAGAGAAGGCATAAATTCAGTTTGACGTCTCAACCATAAACAGAATTAAAAAGAGGGGAGTCTAAAATGAAGATGGCAATATATGTAATATAAATAATGTATAAATAAGGAGTGCTTTTTTCTACTGTGCCACAGTAATCTTTGTACTAAAGTAAAAACTTGATTCACACTATTGAGAAAGATCTGTATATAGCCTGGTTTTATTATTTATATGCATAGCATTTGCTTTTGCAGATTCCTGTAATACATGCATAGATTTATTTGTTCAATTAACACTGAATGTTGCTTGCTTTATTGCCATCTGTGTAAACTGTTTGCTTTTTTTTGTCATTATAAGGTTATGTAGATTGAGGACTTCTTTAAGGCTAATGACTCGGAAAAGTGATTTCCTGGTATTTGAGAGAGTTTTGATGGTAGAGAATAGGAAAAATAAAATACTTTATGTAGCTATGATTGCATTCAGCATATATTTAAACAGACTGACTTACGTATCACGTCTTGTTTCCTTACAACAATTATTATTTAAGTTTATCATCTGATACAATTAGGGCGTTTGATGCTGTGCAGATAACTATCAAATGCAATCCCATTCCAAAGGGCTTTCAAGCTAGTTCAGAGGAAAGACAAAACAGTTTATATGTGTGCAATCAACCGAACGATGGTATATAAGGAAGCAGGTGTATGACATCCTCCTTCTAGTCAGGCTAAATACGGAAACAAGTAAGCATACTCTGTTTTAATAACTGCTCAATAATAGAAATAACGCCACAAATAATTTCAGCAGACATTTTAGGAGCAGAAGTTGAGCCATGTGAACTGAGAGAGTTTCTGAAGCATCCAAGTGCAAAGGGAACGGTATTGCATGGAGCCTGGATTATCCAAGTATAGCAAGCAAAGAAGAAGAAAGTCATAGAATCTGGAAGTGAAGTATTGGCAACATGCCTTGAGAGGAAGCCCTTTCTGGAAAGAGAATTGAAACCCTGGGAAAAAAGCTTGTTCTCACTGTGATCCTATTGCTTCATGGAGCAGGATCTTGATGGAACTGCACTGACTGTTTAAAAAGTTCATACCAACCCCCCCCTACTTTTCTAATGCAAG